GTGTGTGTGTGTGTGTGTGTGTGTGTGTGTACCTAGGCAGGTACCAGCTCTCTCTCTCCATGTGATGTCATCTGTCATGTGAGCAGCACCAGGCCCTTGCTGGACATGAGCAGATGTGAAGTGCTGCTTTTATACTTCCGGTGCTCTAGAATATATATAAACCTTCCTGCTTTATGAGTTACACAGTCAGTGGCATCCCGTTAAAGCAGCAGAAAATGGGCTAGGACAGGAAGTGAGGGAGGAGGCTGCATCTGGGTGGGAGAGCCCCACATTTGCAGGGTCTCATGTCGTGGGTCATAGTGCCAGAAGCACCAAGCAGGTTGGGCTCAAAGTCTGCCAAAATGGACAGCTGGGGTTGAAGAAGGCTAAATTTACCAGAGTTGTCCACCAGGGTGCAATGGTGTTTAAGCTTACAAAGAACTCCAAAGATAACTGCAAATGAGGGACAGCATTGCTTCACACAGATCCTGTTGGAAGCATGGAGAGTACGTACTAATTTTCATCTGTGTAAACGGTAAATGGTGAGGGGCAAAAACAAAACCCTACAAGGAAGTCTTCACAAAGGCTGCGGGGCATACTTTGCTGGTCTTTAAGAAGAGACCCACAGTGAGTCTGCCAGCTCAGGCCCATGAAGCCCTAAAGCATAATTTGAAAGAGAAAGAGAAAGGCTGGGACCATGTAGCTCAGTCTCCACCCTCCCACCCCCACCAACCACCCGAGGCCACTTACTTGACTTGCCGCCCAGTCCTGCTGACTTCTAACGGCTGTCTTACATCACAGGATCCAGGCATCATGGGCTGGATGGGCTGGCTCAGTAGCAGCCTTCAGAGAGAAGAGAAATGGGAAGACTATGGATCAGCACCCAGACTGAAGCCCCAGTGTCCAGGGCAGCTCCACACAGCCTGGCTGGCCATCTGGCTGACTCTCACCCCCAGATCAAACCCTAGTGGGGGTGGGGTGGGGAACATGGAGCTCTCTTCTGCCACTTCCTTAGCAGAGATCAACAGCTGAGTCCCGAGAGTCTGAATTCTGCCTTGGGCTAAGGCAGAATGGTGAGCTGAAGGGCGGTCCACACCTGAGCTGCCGATCATGGCTGAAGTCGGGGCTGGGCTGGCACTGGCTGGCATCCTGCGAGGCGGAGGCAGGTGTGGTAAGACTCAGGCCTGGTGGGAGCACAGCCGAGGCGCTGCTGAACTGGGATGTCAGGCTGTTCACAGAGCGGGTGCTACCGTGTATCAGCTGGGAGCTTCGGATTGGCTTCGGACCCTGGAGTGTCATGTCATTGGATAGAGAACACTTAGATTCAACCCAGGCCATGTCTCCAGGAAACTTCCCCACAGCCTTCCTCTACCCACCCTCGGCTCTTCTTGAACTTAGGATGCACCAACTCTGTACTGATTGTCTTGACTGTCTTTCTTGTTGTAAGCTCCTCAGAGATTCATGAAGTCCCTTGGGCCTTGGATAGTTCTGGCTTTTAGGAGACACATAACCATTGTGCACTGAATTCAACTAGTGTTTGCTTCACAAATGTCACTCCAGACATAGGGACCTCATTGCTGTTTTTCCACCTTACTAAGCTCATTCCTGCCTCAGGGCCTTTGCACATGCCAGGCCACCGATGTGGAATGTTCTTCACTATGCTGATAGAGCTGATTCTCTCACCCCTCAATTGAGTCTTTGCCTAAATACTGTCTTCTCAAAGTGTCCTCTCCTGGTCACCCACAAAAAGCTCCAACCCATTTTCTGCCCAGCAAAACTTACATCATCATTTGATATTTGTGAGTTTTACTCATTTGTATCTCTCCTTCCACTTAGAGCAAAGTTTTTAAAAATCCTTTTTATCTAGTACTCTCCCTCAGTGTTAGGAATTTGGGGGTTGCCATATAGGCCTCCAATATTTATCCAGTGAAGTAACAAATAAATGAGGGAGTGGGCTCTGGTCTGTTTCCCTTCTATCTGTCGCTGCTCATTGTGTCAGTTTTTAGACTTTTTTTTAAAACAAAATTTTGCCATAACGTATAGTGTAAATCCTTCCTTAGGGTTTTCTTTTTCCAAATGCTGCTATTCCCACCCATTTTGATGATTCTTTGACTCAGTTACACTTTCAAAAAAAACCTTAACATTAGGAAAAATGGATTATTATTATTATTGGTACTGATCTGGGGCTTGAATTCAAGTCAGGGGCACTGTCCCTGAGCTTCTGTGCTCAAGGCTAGTGCTCTGCCACTAGAGCCACAGGAGATAAGAGTCTCATGAGCTTTCCTGCCCAGGCATGTGTTGACCCATGATCCTCAGACCTCAGCCTCCTGAGTAGCTAGGATTGCAGGTGTGAGCTACCAGTGCTGAGGTTATGTACAGTATTTTTTTCTTGGCATTATTCTCTAAGCAATGTAACAACCACTTCAAAGCATCATGTCTGGCATGTTAGGTGACCTACAGGCAATTTAAAATACGTGACAGAGGATGTATGTAGGCTCTGAGCAAAGATTGTCTTTTTTCTTCACTATTGGGGATTGAACTTTGGGCCTTATACTTGCTAGGTAAGTGTTCTACCACTTGAGTCACACCCCAATCCTTTTGCTGTTAGTTGCTTTTCAGATAGGTTTGCCCAGGCCAGTCTTGGATTAAGATGATCCTGCCTCCACCTTCTTATTATCAGGGATATAGTCAGGAACCACTAACTGGCTTAGAGTCTTGATAACTTTTGCCCAACCTGTTCTCAAACCATGATCCTCTTATTTCTGCCTCCTGAGCAGCTGAAATGAACGCCATGCACTACCATGCCCATTTATACAAGGGACCTGACTATCCTCGGTTTTTCCTGGTACCTACCTCATAGGAAAACCGAGGGTAAATTGTATTTCCCCCATTATCTGGCTAAGTTCCCAGATTCTCTATTATGCCGGGAGCACATGAGGGCAAGGGTACTTCTCACCCTGTGTGTTTCTCTGTGAATAGGAACTCAGCCCAAGCTCCCTGGGGCCCTGGGAACTGTGTAGATATGAAGGTTGAAGGGGAGGCAGTGTCCCACTTTCAGTCCTTTGGTTTCCTGCGAGCACGGGGCTCAGGACTTCATCATTTGACTCCATTCAAGTGTCACTTATCCACCAGCAGCAGGGTCCCATTGGGAGATGGGTAGCACTTGCAGTGCAGGAGAGAGGCTACACAGGAGGGGCTCAGCAGGGTAACAGGTGGGCAGGGTGGACCTGGGGTAAGAGACAATGAACCGAGGAACATGACCACCAGTGAGTGTCCAGGATGTTCTCATTGTTCCCAGGATCAGTTCAATATCCATGGTAGGAGCAGGGATTCCAGAAGGATCCCAATACAATACAACTTGGCTCCTCCAAGCGATTGCACAATAAAGAAAAGCACACACCCTCTCAGCCTGCCCCAGGCTGGGCAGCACAGCTCTTAGCTGTGGGGGTAACGTATGTCCTGGCTTCAAGACTGACTACAGGAGTGACAAGGACAGTGTGGGGCAGGATGTGTTACCTGGGTGGAGAGCACACTTGGTTCTCTGAGCAGGTGCTGGTTGGTGACTTGGGCCGAGGTCATGGGCCCAGCGAGCTGAGAGCTAGCCACCAGCTGGGGCTGCGCTGCACCCGGCCTTTGCTGGAGCTGCTGTGGAGCCTCGGGCCGCTGGGTGCTGCTGAAGCTCAGGGACACTGCTGGCTGCTGCAGAAACATCTGGGAGCAGAAGAGAAGCCCCTGTGAGCTGGGGCCATGTGTGCCCCACAGGCAGGTGCCTTCTTTGCTTCTTTGTCTTTCCTGTTACAGTAAGAGCACAGATTTCTTCCATTTTTTTCTTTGCTTTATGGTAGTACTGGGGTTTGAACTCAGGACCATGCACTTGCAAGCAGGTACTCACCCCTGGAGCCACACTTTTAGCCTTTTTTTTTTTTGCCTTAGCTATTTTTGGAATACTGTCTCATGTTTATACACTGGATTGTGATCTTCCTATTTGTGCTTTTGGAGGACAAAAGGTATAAGCCACTACACCGAATTGCTAGGTAAGATGGGGGGGGTCTGACTGAGTTTTGCCTGGGCTGGCCTCCTAACTGCAATCCTCCTGCTCTCTGCCTTCTGAGTGGCTGGGATTACAGGAATAAGTCCATCATCACTGTGCCTGGAAGATTTATATTCTTTTTCTTCTTTTGTCAATCTTGGAGACTGAACTCAGCCTGTGCCTGCTAGGCAAGCATTTTCCACTCGAGATACATCTTCAGTCGTTTTGTTTTTAGGTTTTAAATAGGGTCTTGTACTAGAGGTCTGATGTTCCTGTCTCTGCCTCCTAACTTGCTGGGATTATAGGCATGTGCCACCATCACTAGCTAGGACAGATGCCTTACCCTCCTTGACCTACCTGGACACAGCTCATGATGTAGCAGCAGACCCAGCAGTGGGTTGGCTACACACTGTCACTGCCTTCATGAAGGTCACAATCAAGTGAATACTTCTGACACTGAAAGTGGTATACATCAGGTGCTCTGTACATCATTTGATATACTTTTTATGGTTCAAGTTGGCTTACCAGGTCCTTATGAGGGAGCCCCTTGGAAAGGAACACATAATGTCTTAATGGTGCCAGGTTGCATAATCCATGGTGTGGGCCACATTATACCTCAAGTAGGACTAGGCCCTATCTATGCCCAGTAACTGGTGGATGGATAGATAAGTGGGTGACAGGTGGGTGTGTGGATGGAAGGAGAGGAAGTTGCATGGGAGGACAGATGGATTGTAGATGGTAGAAGGAACCAATCAGTGTGCATGTTATTTGCTACTACATTACTACAGTAGTCCTTTTAGGAGCTAACCTGGGAAGCCAGCAGAGGGCAGACATGTCTCAAAAAGAACAAGAGGCAGTCTCTCACTGATGAACTGGCAATGGGGACTTTCAGCACATCCACAGGGCCTCACAAAGGTTTGAACTTATCAATAATAACTGAATAACCAGGGACGTGAGCCAGTCATCTGGCCAAAAGGGAATTTTATGGCTTAAGACAATACACGTGTGTGTGTGTGTGCGCGTGTGCCAAAAGGGAATTTTATGGCTTAAGACAATACACGTGTGTGTGTGTGTGTGTGTGCGTGTGTGTATGTGTGTGTGTGTACGCGTGCGCATCTGTAGTGGGGCTTGAACTCAGGGCCTAAGTCCTGTCTCTGAGCTTCTTTTGCTCAAGGCTTGTACTCTACCACTTGTGTCACTTTCTTCTCCTTCCTTCCTTCCTTCCTTCCTCTCCTCCTCCTCCTCCTTCTTGTTGGTTAGTTGGTGGTTGGTTGGTCGTGGGCTTGAACTCTGGGTCTGGGTGCTGCCCCTCAGCTCTTCAGCTCAAAGCTAGAGCCCTACCACTTGAGCCACAGCACCACTTCTGGTTTTATGAACAGTTTAATGGAGATAAGAGTCTCCACAGACTTTGCTGCCTGGGCTGGCTTTGAACCTCGATCCTCAGATCTCAGCCTCCTGAGTAGCTAGGATTATAAGCATAAGCCACTGGCACCCGGCTCTTCTGGCTTTTTCTGAATAGCTTTTAGAAATAAGAGTCTCATGGAATTTCCTGCCTGAGCTCACTTCAAACTGCAGACCTCAGATCTCAGCCTCCTGCATAGCTGGGATTACAGGTGTGAGCTACCAGTGCCCATCAAGACAATACTTCTTTAAAGACTCTGAGGGTCAATTTTATGGACAATGTGAAGAAAAATTGTTCCCTAATTCAAGTAGGAAAAGTTTTTTACTTTATAGAACAAACTGACCTTGTATTCATTATTTTTGTTGGCTTACTTTGACAAATTCTTGTCATTATAGGATGCTTCAGACACACAAAATAAAGCACAATTAGGTCCCACATGACAATACATCTTCCATAGAATTCAGTATTTATCACAAGCTTGTCATTCTATGTCATCAGACATAGAATGCAGCCCCCTCCCCTCCATCTTTTCTTTTGTGTGAGTACTGGTGCTTGAAATGTGGTGCTATTCCTTAGCTTTTTCACTTAAGGCTGGCACTCTACCACTTGAGTAACAGCTCTACTTACAGCTTTTTGGCGGTTAATTGGAAATAAGAGTCTCATGGACTTTTCTGCCTGGGTTGACTTTGAACAGTGATTCTCAGATCTCAGCCTCCTATGGTGAATAGCTAGGATTACACTATTCACTATGGTGAATTACTAGGATTATGAGCCACTGGTGCCTGGCTACCCCACTCTTTGGGGAAGGTGTGGGGGTGGTTGGACTAGTTTTTACTTGTTTATTATGTACATTTAAATCACAGAATGTCTCCTTAAAAACAAATGTCACATTTTAGTTAGGCATTGTAGAATGTATTTCTTTATCTTAAAAAGAAAACAACCTACAAACAAGATGGTTGACTGCTGGAGGAATCTTCTCTGGTTTGACTATCTGTAGATTTCCATGTTCTTTGGAAAATTCCACTGCCAAGATCAGGCCCAAGGAAGGAAGAGACCGGAGGAGCTGATTTCATGGCGCCTCTCACAGAGCTCAGGTGCTCTTTGGAACTTTAAAAAATGCTCTGGCCAATGAGGAAATACCCTAATTCTCTGTAGTGGAGTCAAAAGTGCTAAGTCTGTAATGCGCTGCTTGCAAGTCTAGCTCTTGTTGCTGATCCAGGAAGTGGACTGTGGTGAATGTTCATACACCTAACTTAGTGTGAACACTCTCTGGCTCAGTCTCCCCCTTTCCCATTAGTGTGAAAACTCTACTCAAGTGGTTACAATTGGGCAAGTTCTGGGTTTACCAACCAGGCCTTGGGATCAGCAGGAAGAATGCTGTAACTGGGAAAGAATAAGTACAAAGGGTCTGCTTGGCTGGGTGCTGGTGGCTCACACCTAGAATCCTAGCTACTCAAGAGTCTGAGATCTGAGAAAATTCCGTAAGACTCTTATCTCCAATTAATTAGCAAAAAGCCCAAAACAGAGGTATGGCTTAGGTAGTAGAGCGTCAGCCTTGAGTGAAAAAGCTAAGGGAGAGTTCAAGCCCCTGAATCAAGACTACAGTACTGGCACATACACAAAAGGGCTTATTATGTTGATAGCTTGATGCCCCTTTTCTACGCGTGCGACCACCTGTGTGTGTGTAAGAGTGTCTCTGAAGCAGGACGCTGGGTGTGGTGCAGGCCGTCTGGGTGAGGCTTGCTGCTTGCACGGCAGTCACAGAGGCCTGGGGTGTAGGCGCAGAGTGGTGGCCTGTCTTTGCCTGGGGTCCTCTCCATGGTGAGGGTGCTACTCAGGAGGAAGGGGAGGAACAGAAGTGTCACTCCTGGTCCCCATCACTGCCTAGGAGCATATAGGAGACACTGGCAGGCAGGACAGCCAGGGGAGGTGTCTCCAGCCAACCAACATTCTGTGTGAATTCGGTTATACATGCGCTCCTGCTATGGCCTGCCACTGTCTGTTGTTGGTGACACTGAGCTTCAGAAGCTAGGTGGTCAGGAGAAGATCCATATGGCAGGGACAGGGAAGCAGCAGGGACAATGTCCTGAGGGGTCTCTTCTTGTCTCTCTAAAGAGAGTAGCAGGGCTTGGTGGTCCAGGCAGACTCCAAGCTTTGCTAGAATTACATTTGCAATGGAAGATTGAGCCTAAAAGCAATTGTGAAGACATTCTTGTACTAAAACAGGTAAAATTTAGTAAAAAAAATAATCGTGTGTTTGTGTGTGTGTGTGTGTGTGTGTGTGTGTGTGTGTGTGTGTGTGAATGCCACACCAGAACTTGGGTTTGAACTCAGGGCCTTGGTGCTATTCCCTAGCTTTTTCTTTTTCTTTTGCACAAACTGGTACTCTACAACTTGAGCCACAGCTCCACTTCTGGCTTTTTGGTGGTTAGCTATAGATAAGAGTCTCATGGACTTTCCTGCTTGGGTTGGCTTTGAACCTCAGTCCTCAGATCTCAGCCTCCTGAGTAGCTAGGATGACAGGTGTGAGCTGCCAGTGTCGGCTAAATAACTTATCTCTAAGGAGAGATTTAGCAGTCCAAGTTTTCCCTCCAAAGTTAAAATTGCCTGAAAGGAGTCCAAGAAGTATACCTCGTAATAAACTGAGAGCTGCTTCCATCAGACTGAACAGTGTCCACCTGGCTCATGGGACAGGTGGCTGGGAGATGGCCCTTCTCTGTGCTGCCCTCTCAGGCTGTGTGCAGTGTGCACAGTGTGTTCCTCCCTTCTCCCTGGCCTCATGTGTTCATATTATGTCAGAGGAAACAGTATAAAGTTGCCTTTACCTCTTGCTGCTGGGGCTGAAGCTATATGCATGTTGGGAGCTACAATTTAGGACTCAAGTGGTAATCAAAGGTCAGATTTGAGGATAACAACTCAGGGGGGCAGCCAATGGATGGGGCCTGTAAGAGTGATGGGGAGGGAAGGGGAATTTCATGTCTGGGCAGGAGATGGGAACAGGGAGGTGAATTTGCTCCTTGTACTTTGCAATGGATGTTTCCATGTTCCCTGAGCATATGTGGCCCAGTGAGGTGCTTCACAGAGGCTTGGAGAAAGCTCTGGCTGTCTTAAGGACTGACCCACAGAGTTGGGAGGAGGGAGGCCCACCTGGACAGGGACATACCTGGACATTGGAGTCCTGGACTAGGCAGAGCTGCTCCTGGATCTTGTGGAGTTCTTCCTGCTGCCACCGGATGTTGGCCTGTAGGATCCGCGTCCGTTGTTCCAGCTGGTCTTTAATGGTCTGGAACATGCTGAACTGTGCTGAGAACTTCCGAGGGGGACAAGGTCAAACACACAACCAGATCAAGGAGTTATTTATTCTGCCTGGCAGAGAGCTCATGCATGATTACAATCAGCCCTGTGAGCATCCCCTTCCAGCCCCTGAGCTCACCTGAGCTCAGGGAGCAGGAGCTGGGGATGAGGGTGTGGTATGCTAGGGTATCCAGCCAGTGATCCTTTCCCAGGCTGCCGGTGACAGTATGCCCAGTTGGATCTCAGGACTGATTTTTACTGCACTGTAGGTAGGGAAGCCCACCACAATTGGAGTATGATGGAAGTCCTACTTATATACAGATTCCAGATTTAGTCAGGGAGACAAAAGGACAGCATCTGAGTCTTTCTTTTTCTTCCTTTTGGTCATTGAAGGCATGATGTTATCATCACAGAAATTCCTGGGCCCAATCTTAAATCTGATCCTGGGGCTTTCCAATGGAGGTGGGACCATGGAGACCTTCCTGCCTTTCCATCTTCCTCTTTGGGTCACTTGCTGCCATGCAAGTCAGAAAAGAACACTCACCTGGCCAGAGAGGCTGGTGGCTCATACCTGTGATGCTAGCTACTCAGGAGGCCGAGATCTGAGGATCTCAGCTGGAAGCCAGCCTGGATGGGAAAGTCCATGAGACTCTTCTCTCCAATTAACAGGACAAAAGCTGGGCTCTCTAAGGCTGTGGCTCTCATTTACTAAGGCAAATGAACTTTCCGTACTTGAGATTTTCTTTTTTCTTTCTTTTTGTCAGTCCTGGGGCTTCAACTCAGGGCCTGGGCACTGTCTCTGATCTTCTTTTCTTTTGCTCAAGGCCAGCACTCTACCACTTGAGCCACACCACCACTTCTGGCCTTTTCTGTGTATGTAGTACTGAGGAATTAAACCCAGGGCTTCATGCATGCTAGGCAAGCACTCTACCACTAAGCCACATTCCTGACCCCTGGACTTGAGATATTCTTTTCCTCTTTACTCCCCGCTCCTTCCTTTTGGTTTCTCCGTTGTACCTTTGGCCTTGAACTCGATAGGCAAGTGCATTATCACTTGGGACACTCCACTAGCCCTTTTTGTGGTTGGTTATTTTCTTATTTTTATTTTTGAAAAGATTTTTATTGTTATTATAAAGGTGATGTAACAGAGGGCTTACAGTTATATAAGTCAGGTAAAGAGCACATTTCTCTTGGACAATGTCACCCCTTCCCTTGCTCTCTCCAAGGTTTTCCCTCTCATCTCCACTGTGTTGGTTATTTTTGAGAGTTTTGCTTTGTGTCTGGGACAGCCTACGTGTCATCCTCCTGAACTGCTAAGCTAACAGGTACATGTTACCCTGCCCAGCCATTGGTTGAGATGGAGTCTTAAAAACTCAGCCTATTCCTCACTGATCTTGAACCACAATCCCCTATTTATACTTCCTAAGCAGCTAGGATCATAGGCTTGAGCCAGAGTTGGGCTTCTCTTTTTCTTCCTTTTCTCCCGTCTTCCTTTCCTTTTCCAGCTTCTTCTCCCACTCCCTTCCTTCTTTCCTCCTTTCCCTCCCCTTCCCTTTTCTTCCTTCTTGCCCCTTTCCCTCCTCCTCCCTTTGTTACTCCCTCTTTCCTTTCCTTTCCTTTCTTCTTTCCTCTTTCCCTCCTTCTCTTCCCTTTCCTCTCTCCATCCCATCTTCCTAATCCTTCCTCCCTCTCATCTTTATACAATGCTTCCCTCTACTCCTGATATCTTTATATAACATCTTCCAGTCTGCTTCTTGCCCACTGTTTTTGGCAAATGCCTCCAGAATCTTTTTCTTTTCTGTCCTTGCACACTTGGACTATCAGGGTGCCTGAGAGTGTGAAGACACAGACAGCACATACCAGAGGATGCTGCAACCAACCACAGTCCTCGGAGCAGCAAATTGATAACAGAAAGAGCAAGGAGAATGGCAGGTGCTGCCATTTGCAGACACCCACATAGGCCAGCCATTGCCCCAGACAAGCAGAAGTGCACAGAAGTGTGACATGCCTGCTCAAGGTCACCCGGCTAGATAAGGTCAGAATGTGACCCTGAGGCTAAGAGCTTGACTAGTAAGCCCTACTCCCAGTCCCCAGCCCACCTCAGTCACAGTGACTCACACTTTTATTTACACAAGTGTAAAAATGCCTGTCCTATGCTGCCTGCCGCACAAAAACCTGTACCACAGTGGAATCAATCAAAGCATTCAGCTGGAGTTTGGAAAGAACATTCTATCAAGCAAGCCACATGTATCAGATATTTAATTAAGAAAAAGACAGAAGCTGCTGTGGTTGGTTCAGATCTTCAGCTCTGCCTACAGCTGAGCCAGCTCTTCATTGTTTGGTTGGTTCTGAGAGTGGCCACAGGGGCTAGCACTGCAGAGTAACAGGACTTAGCACTGTCCCGGGTTTCCTCTGGCGTCCAGGCTGGAACCAAGGACCTAGAGCACACCAGGAAACTCTCTATTGCTGAGCTACAATCCCAGATCTTTTATTTTTATTTTTTTTGGTCAGGTTTTGATGACAAAGAAAGTGAGATACTTATCTCCAATTCACCAATAAAAAGCTGCGAGTAGAGCTGTGACTTCAGTGATAGAGCTGAAGCTTTGAATGAAAAAGCCAAGAAAAGTACAAGGGCCAGTACTGGCACAAAAAATATTTAAAAATTACCTTTAAGTAGTTGTACAAAGGGATTTAAATTCAGCATGTCAGTTTATGCTTGACCCTTTTTGGCAAAGAGGTCTACTCTAAGTTAGAGACTTTTAAAACCTTTTTACTATATTTATTTAATTGGTCATGGGGCTTGAACTCAGGGCCTGGGAACTGACTCTGACTTCTTTTGCTCAAGGCTAGTGCTCTACCACTTCAAGCCACAGCTCCACTTCAGATTTTTGAGTGGTTAATTGGAGACAAGATTTTCATGAGGAATTTTCTGGCTGGGCTGGAAAGATAGGAGAGAGAGAAAGAAAGGAGAGAGGAGACAGAAGGAGGGAGGGAGAAGGAGAGGAAGAGAGGGAGAGTGAGTGAGAGAGAGAGAGATTTTAGAAGTATAGTATTAAGCAAAAGAGGCTTTTTGGAAAAATTATTTGTTATTCAGACAACTACTTTCCAGAATTTGGATTCTATTTTACCTATGTCTGACAGAATGTGACACTGATAACACTGGTGAGGGATTGAGGGGAAATTGAAAAATATAATCATTCTATTTGATGTGGGTATGGGGAGGAACCGCTGACTTGAGAAGTCAATAGAGCTGGTTCCCTGTACATAGAGCAACCGGCTAAGGATGGAAAATATTAGACAAGAGGTGCATCTGAGCCAGGTGCTGGTGGCTCAAGCCTGTAATCCTAGCTAATCAAGATACTGTGATACAGAGGACCTGGTTCAAAGCCAGATTGAGCAGAAAAGTCTGCTAGATTCCGTTTACAAAATAACCAGCAAAAACTGAGTTAGAGACATGGCTCAAGTGGTAGAGTACCAGCCCAACAAGTAAGCCAGAAAGAGCACAAGGTTCTGATTCTAAATCCCAGGTTGTTCAAACAAAACAAAATAAAAGACTGTCCTAAAAACCGCAGTTAGCTGGGTGCTGGTGGCTTACGCCTGTAATCCTAGCTACTCAGGCGGCTGAAATCTGAGGATCACTGTTCAAAGCCAGCCCGGGCAGGAAAGTCCGTGAGACTCTTATCTCCAATAAACCGCTCAGAAAACCAGAAGTGGTGCAGTGGCTCACGTGGTAGAGCACTAGCCTTGAGCTGAAGAGCTGAGGGACAGCATTCAGGCCCAGAGTTTAAGTCCCATGACTGACAAAAGAAAGAAAAAGAAAAAAAAAGTTGTTGTTATTAATTACAGTGCACTGACAGACCAAGGTAGTTGCCATTACAAGTGAAGTCAAATGAAGAGTTCGAATTCTGACAGGGCTTTAATGACACCCTAGAGAGGCATTAACACAGACGTTCTTAACTATGCAGACCAGGTGATTAGAGGAATTCTTTCTTATTTCATATGCCTTTTGATCGAAAGGTTACTTACTTCATACCATACATGTGTGTGCCTTAGCAATTTGAAGAGGAAAAGCATGCTTCTGATTTTTTTTTGCAACAAAGATAAAGATGGACTACTTTAATTAATAGACTGGGTGCACAGCTTTTAACTTACTCCTCAAGTCTGACTCTGGCAAGAAGCATATGCTAGCATGTGTAAAGACTGTAGGCCACTTCTGTGTTCTGATTATGTTCTGAAATAGCTTCCATCAGCCATGGCAGATTTGCTGGTCAATCTCCAGGGACCCAGGTCTGGCTTGTGCCCAGGGATTAGGACAAAGCTAAATGCCACACCAAGGAAGGGAAGTCCGAGCCCTCGGCTTAGCAGAGGCTCTGCCAGTCAATCAGCCCAACTCCTCCCTGAGTCAGTCAGCCTATTGTGGGGCCCCTGTCCCCTCTACTCCTGGCAGATGAGAGGCTTCTGTACCTTCCCAGTAAACACACACTCAGGTGCCTCTTTTCTGGTCCCGTCTCTCCACGTGGCAGCCTCCTCACCATCCTACCATGGCAGCCTGTTTGGTGATGGTTCTATAGAAACATCTCTCTTGCCTGGAGCAAGGCTCTCTCTACATGTCTGCCTGCCTCATCCTTAAACTCTGGGTATCAAGAGCAAGGACCAGGCTCTGATCATCTCTGCATCCCTAACTGCTTGCTCATAGACTGACCTAAATAAGAATTCACAGAATGTGGTTGAAATCGGAAGAAATTACTCAGCAAAGCCATAATCCTTTTTTATTTAAAAAAATTCTGGTATTTATAGCACTGGACTCAATAGTTTTTAGATCCTTTTGGAGTCTTCCTACGCCATGTGGCCCAAAGAAGACCTTTTCTACAACCTCACAGCCAATCTGGAGTCATAAAAAGGGAATGGAAGCTGAGCATTGGTGGCTCACACCTGGAATCCCAGATCCTCAGGAGACTGAGCTCTGAGGATCTGAGTTTAAAGCCAGCGCAGCAGAAAAGTCCATGAGTCTCTCTAGCTAACCAGAAAACAACAACAACAACAACAACAACCCCAAAACCAAAAGTGGAAATGTGGCACAAGTGATTAAGCACCAACCTTGAGTGAAAAAAGTTAAGCCTCTCCTCCCCCATGGCCCCCCCCCCAAATAAAGAAGGTAGAAAGTGACAGATGAACAAAGGTATTGTGAGGACAAGTAGACCTGGGGGAAAAGAAGTTGGGGGATGTACATGGATAAGCCAAGTGTGGCAGACAAGGCCAGGATAAAGATGACAACATGGCTGCCTATGCCCCCTTGTGTCCTGGGAGGCACACCCCCCTGGTAGGGCCTTGGTGGCTAGCACACGCCCAGAGGCTGTCATTCACTTTGTCTGGAAGAAGTGGTGCCCCGTCCCAAGTCCCAGATTCACCTGCGCCATGGGAGCCGGCGGAGTCTGCAAAATGGTCTGTGGCAGGAGCTGCTGCGTGAGGTCGCAGGTGGATGGGGAGGGCAGAGGGGTCTGGAAGGAGAAAGGAGCTTGTTAACCAACTGCTTCTGGGCTGTTCCAGGGGTGGCAGCTCTCATTCGGTAGGCTTCTCCAGTTAAAAGGAGGCCCTTGTGCAAGCCTCAAGGTGGACAGCTGAGCATGAAGTCTTCCAGCAGGTATGCACATTTAGACGATGCTGGCTGGCCCACTTCCTGAGTAGGCAATGTGGTCAGGGCTGATGCCTGCCTGGTACAGGGCACAGCTGGCCTTTGAACAAGCTCCTGGAGTATTCAGGGTCCATGATTCCTGGTCCGGGAGTCTATCCTCAATGAACTAAGCTGTTCTGTCCCCTAAGTAACTGATCCTCAGCATGTCATCAAGCAGTCCCAGCAGGGATGCGCTTTAGCCAGAGTGGGCTTGTGCGTGACCCCAGTCTCTTCTGTGAATCAGGAATATAGACAGGCACACCTGCTGTGCGTGTCTGTATCCAGGATCTCATTTCCACAATGGAGACTGGATAGTGTCACTGGTCATGTGGAATGAGCCTTGTTCCTGGTCACTTGGGAGGTTGGGTAGGCAAGGGGAAATAACAGAAAGGGGCAGACAGAAGGAATGAACTCCTCAGGTTTTTGAGCTGCTGCAAGTCTTTTGTTTTGTTTTTGTTTTTAAGGGAAAATCAAAGGGCTCTTCTGAAGTTGTCCCCAAACTGACTCCCCCTCCTGGTCCCTAGAGACTGTAAATAGCAGCATAGTAGAATGCATTACCCAGGACATCAGTGGGAGGAAGTCCCAATGGGTGGGCCACTCTGAGTGACCTCAGGCCCAATCAGACCCTAGCTTGGACCTTCCTACCTGCACGGCCAGGAGGAATGGAAGCATTCTGGGCCACTGTCCTTGGCCACATGGGCCATCCTGGACAGGACAGGAGGTAGACAAACAGCAATCACAGCTCAGAGGCAACTCCAGAGCATGCTGGAGAGGAAGGCAGTGAGCTTGGTCATGCTCTGTTTGCAGATATAACATGTTACTGAAGCTTCTCTGGCCTACGGGAAGGATTCTGGAGGACTTTTCCACCAGGCAGGAAGGTGACATGTTAACACCCAAGTGCTGTGAGGGATGAGATTGGGTCCTGTGGCCATGGATTTGCTACTCATATCACACGAGAAGATGGGAGACACACACACACACA